TTGCTCTCCTGTTCCCAGCCAAGTCAGCATCAGCAACTTCCAGAGGCCTGGGATAGTCCATGAAGCCTGCAGGGAGAGAGCCAAGAGAAGTGGGCCAGTGCTGAGTTCTGCTACAGTCTTTCCTGGATGGGGTGGGCATTAGAAGAAACTGGGCACAGCCTTGCTCTTTCCTTAAACCCTAACATCCTCTCCTGCCACATCATTCAATCTCTTGCTCTAGACCCAAGTTTCTCCAACCCCTGGCTTCCGAAGAGGTCAAGTAATGGCCATCAGATAAATGATAATAACCCGGGTTCAGACTCCAGTTCCTCCAGTTGCCAGCTATGTGGCCTTGAGGAGACTAAACCTCTTTCATTTCCTCATCTGTGAAAAAGGGGGCGGTAACTGCACCTGCCTAGTAGAGTTCTAAAAGATCCTTGGGTGGTACAAATAAATGGTTTGGGCTCAGGTACCAATCAAAAGGTTGGTGGTTCAAAGCCACCCACCGTCATCTTGGAAGAAAGGCCTGGTGATCTGCTTCCATAAAGCTTATAGCTGAGAAAACCCTATGGAGCAATTCTACTCTAGCACGTGGGGCAGCCATGAGTCAGAATCTACTTGATGGCAACTGATTTGGTTTGGGATTGTAGAGATCTTGGGAGGGTTAGATGAGTAAAGCATGAGAAAGGGCTTGGAGAGGAGGCAAAGTAATGTTCATTGATGGGAAAAAAGAAGGAAGGAAGGAAGGAAGGGAGGCAGGGAGGGAGATGGAAAAGAACGAAGGTCTTGCCTGAGCTGATGAATAGAATAGCCAGCCAGATGTTATCTCCACTTTTATAGATGAGGAAATTGAGCCCCAGTCTCTAGGGTGATGAATCAAACCAAAACCAAACTCACTGCCATCAAGTTGATTCCGACTCATGGGGACCCCCTTTAGGTTTCTGAGGTGGTAAATCTTTATGGAAGTAGATTGCCCAGTCTTCCTTCTGCAGAGTGGTTGGTGGGTGAACAGCAACCTTCTGGTTAGCAGTCAAGTTCCTTAGGCATTACGCCACCAGTGCTCCTTCTAGGGTGATGAGACTTCTTAAAGTCACACAGCCAGTAAGCAGCAAAGCCAAGTGTCCACCTAGGTCTTCTTCCATCTATTGCTTCTGGTGCAGTGCTCCTTCTACATATTCTGTGTCAGATTAGCAAATAAAGTAAGCATGGGCTTACTTACTAATTTGTTGTGACCAGTTCCACATGTTTTTAACCACATCATGTGATGAAACCCATGTGAAATTGTTTACTATACAACATGCTCACCTGCCTCTCATCATCCCTGGAAGTTTAGGGTGTCTCAGGCTTGAGGGCGGGGTCCTCAGAATGGTAGATCGCATTCTCTTGTTTCTCAGGCAACTGCAGAGGAAGAAGGCAGCTAGCTCCAAGGGCCCTGCTCAAGGCAAGAGAAGTATCCCTGGTGGAACTAGATTAGCCCCACCAGGATTGGAGCAGCAAATAGTGTGTGGCGGGCGCCACCTTATGATCACCGTGGAGGTTGCATGCTGTGGAGCAGGGCAGTCCTTCAGAAAATGTACTGTGTCCCTACAGTGGCTGCCACAATGGGCTCAGACATAGCAAGGATTGTGAGGTTGGCACAGGACCGGGCAGTGCTATGTTCTGTTGTATAGGTTGCTATGAGTTGGAATCAACTCGACAGCACCTAACAATAACAACAACTCTTTGTACTAGGCAGCACTGTCCTGGGTGCTGGGTGCAAGGACCAAGACAGAATTCTTGCCTCACCAGGGCAATGAGAAAGTATTCAAGTGAAACCCACAGTGACAATAAGACATGGGGCTGATAACCCAGGCTGGGGGGATTCAGTGAGGATGTGTTGAACCCACTCTTGAAAGATCAGTAGAAGTGACCCAGTTGAGAGAAGGGAGGCTCCAGGCCTGTGATAAGAGACAGCATGACAAGCTCCCTGAACATATATAGGTCAAAAAGAGAGGTGGGAGGTTCAGGGACACCTGAAATGAATCAGGAGGTGGGGGTGGGACAGATCAGCCCTGCTTTAGCTTCAAGGCTTGGACGTAATCCTAAAGACTGCCTCATCTGTGGTCCTCTGGGAACATCTGTCTCATCCTCATCTTCTGGGAAGCCACCTCACCTTCCATCTAAACTACCCAGATGCAGGTGTGTGTGTGTGTGTATGTGTGTGTGTGTGGGTGGAGGGACTGCAGGGACAGCTTGATGATGCTGCATTTCCCATTAGCATGGAACTATATTGTTCTCAACCAAGTACTGCTGCAGAACATAGAGCTAAGAGAAGGTGTGAAATCTGAATAAATTACAAAGATCAAAACAGACCCAAGAGTGAGTGAGCTTCTCTGTAGGGGAACTGATAACATTTTCAAGTTTATTTCATTAGCACTAAATCCATGTGGTTCTAATAGTGGTGTCTAAAATATTTTAAATATAGCAGAAAAATAATTATGTGACCAAAAAATGTATCAAGAATTTAATAACACAGAAAGATTCTTATGATAGGGAGTTAGAGGGAAAAAGTAGGATACCAAATTGGGTATATAATATGATCTCAACTGTGTAAGAAAAATTGATGCAGAGGAAAAAAAAGACTAGAAGGAAACATACCAAAATACTAACAGTGCCTGAATTTGGATGATGGAACTTCTTTCTATTTTTCTCTGTTTCCAGATTTTCTTTAATGAGCTTCTCATCATTATGTAATTAACAACAACAAAAGCAACAACAATAACGTGGCATTGAATTGATTTTCAACTCATAGCAACCTCTTGTGACACAGCAGAACTGCCCCACAGAGTTTTCTAGGCTGTAATCTTTATGGGAGCAGATCACCAGCTCTTTCTCCTGTGGAACTACTGGGTGGGTCCAAACCATGCCCTTAACTGCTGTGCCATCAGGGGTCTTCAAAAAACTATTTAAGAAGTGTGAATTTAAAAGCATTGCTGGTATGTACATTAAATTGGTTTAAAATGGATATTAGTTAAAATTACCCTGAAAACTTCTGCTGAAAATACAGAGACAAATGAAAGGTGATGGTGGTCCTCCATCCCATAGGTCCACAGACACATGCCTGTGCTCAGCCTTGGGGGAGTGCAGAAAGCAAGCGGGGTCTCTATCATCCCCCATCATCCAGTGCAGGCAAACACCTCCAGTAATTATGTATGAGGAGAGAGGCCTGGCTGAAGTCATGCTGTTGTTGTTGTTTGCCGTCAAGTCGGCCCTGACTCATAGCGACCCCTCCTTGGGTTTCCGAGGCAGTATCACTGTGGAAGTAGGATTGCCCAACCTTCCTTCCGAGGAGTGGCTGGTGGGTTTGAACCGCCAGCCTTCTGGTGAACAGTCAAGTGCCTTAGGCACTATGCTACCAGAGCTCCCGGCTGAAGTCATAGAAAGCCCAAATGTGTCACGTTTTTAAAGAAACTTAGTATGGCGATATTCCACTACTTTCAGCTTCTAGATCAATGCTTTCCAAGTGGGATATTTGCATTAATACTGCTCTGGGCAAAGAAGAATGAAGAAAACCAATGGTGTATGGAAACAATTATCCAAGGGACTAGTAGACCATGTGGTCCTCAGCCTATATGACCATGAGACCAGAAGAACTAGATGGTGCCTGGTGGCCACTGTCAACCACTCAGAGGGGGATCTGTGCAGGAGATCCTGGATAGAGAGGGAGAACAATGTGGAACAAAACTCAAAATCATAAAAAAAAAAAAAAAAAAAGACCCGGTTTGCTGGTCTCATAGAGCCTGATGAGACCCCTGAGACTATGGCCCCTACTTACCTTTCAGGTCTGGAACTGAACTCATTCCTGTGGCTTCTAGCCAAACAATAGATAAGGCATATAGGGTGAACATTTACATCAGGTAGAAGTGATCAATCATGGAAGAACAGAAGGACAGTGTTTGCACAGGGAGACAGCTTGGAGGGGGAGGAGTGTTGTGCAGGAGTGCATGGAAGGGAAGGACACAGAGAAGAGGTACAGGGAGGAAGTGGGAAGAGAGCTGTTACATTGTGGGGAATTGCATCAATGTCATGAAACAAAATGTGTATGAACTGTTGTATGGAAAATGAATTTTCTCTGTAAACTTTCACCCAAAGCACAATAAAAATAAAATAAAAAACCCCACAAAACTGCTCTAGATGCTGAAAGTAGTGGGACATCACAGAACTCTGTTTCTATGCCATAATTGCCCTGGGATATTTTCATATGCTGAGTCCTAGGCCCTACTGAATTAAAATCTCTGGGGCAGCATCTGGGAGGCTGCATTTTAACAAGGTCTCCATATTGTTGTTAGGGAGACTGAAGTTGAGCACTGAACTTTGGTTCTTAGCCCAGGCTATATATTAGAATCAACTAGAACCTTGAAAAGTAATTCTTATGTCCAGGCCCTGCACCAGAGCAATTAAATCCAAATCCCTAGGGGCTGAGGGCTGGGCTCTGGAATGGTTTGAGGCTCCCCATGTCGTCACAATGTACACACCCAGGACTGAAAACCACCGGCCTAGTGCAGTGGTTCACAGATGCTTTTTTCATCAGCATCACTTGAAGGGTTTGTTAAAACAGAGTGCTGGGGCCCTGCCTGTGAGTTTTGGATTTTGTAGGTCTTGAGTGGGCCTAAGAATTTGCATTTCTAGCAAGTTCCCCGGTAATGATGATGATGATGGTCCCGGAAACCATGCTTTGGGACTCACTGATCTAGAATACGGCTGGCTGAAGCCTTTATGGACACAAGTAAACACCAGCTGCAGTCCAGACTATGGATTGGTGCTGTGACCACTGCAGGGTGTGTAGAAAGAGAGGTCTGTATATCACCCCCTCCAAGCCCCGTGGTCCTGTGGGGAAGGGAGGGAAGAGTCTTCATCTCCCAGCAGACATGGCCTCCCAGACGAAGGTGCAGGATGATACAGGCTCTGCCTCCCACCTGGGCTTCTGGCTCTGAGGCCCCAGACAGCTCCCTTGTGCAGGAGGACATGTCTGCTGAACTTACCTCCCAGTAGATCTCATCATCAAAGCAGTTCTCGTCAGCAGGCTGTCCCCAGCATGGGAGTTTCAAAATGGCTCCTAAAGAAAGTTAGAGGTCACAGGAGGTCAGGAAATACTATCCTGGGAAATCCCTTCTAGGGTTCTTGGGCTGAGGTGCTGTGAATCTCCCCAACCCCACTGCCAGGAGTGCAGAGATGAGGAGGTACCTGGGAGCACCAGGCTACCTGCTGATACACACGCCTGGGTCTCCTGCAGAGGGAGCCTCACAGCAGCCCCACCTCTTCAGCCCAGCCATCCCTACTCACCCACAATGCTGCCGCCCACCAGGGCTATGGCCATGGACACAAAGATGCCAGCAGCCTGGAAGCTGCCCTGAAGTTCTGTGGTCCTATTTCTCTTGGTACCTTCAAAGTCAAAGGCATGGAGAAGCCTGGGATGGAGACAAGAGGCAGATCAGGGCCCCACAGAGAGGCAAGTCACCATTGCTGCATCCCATAAATATAAGTGGGCACCAAGGCCACAAACTCGCTAAACCCTGTGGCTCATCCTTCCCATCTGCAAAATGGGAGCATTGGGTGGATGAGATGGTCTCTAAGATGCTTGTGGAGGTTGGACAGACAGGCCAATGGTCCAGAGTGGAGAAGAACATAGAGACACATTCTTGGATCACAAAGGAAGGAGGGATGGAGATGGAATGAGGGAGCTTGACCTTCCCTGTACCCCCCTATACTTACCCTTCATACCCATACACCTGACTGTTGGCAGAGGCTGCTGTCACTGCACCCACAATGCCACCGATGAGGCCAGGCATGCCATGTAGGTTGTGAATGCCACATGTGTCCTGGATATGCATGTGGGCCTCCAGGAAGGGCTGGAGAAGGGAGGTGAGCACTGATCAGGCCCAGGGGCTGTGGCAGGGGTGTGGGGAGGCCAGCATTCTGGGGGCTCTCAAATATAGATACCTGGGATTCTCCAGCCCCGGTCCCCACCTGAAGGACTCCTCTCACTCTCAGCACTCTCCAGCCCCCAGCCCCTTGCCTGGGCCCTCCACCCAGGCCCCTCACCGTCAGGTACACGAAGCCCAGGGTGGAGACGATGCCGCTGATGAAGCCGGTGATGAGGGCGCCGTAGGGCATGAGCATCATCTCTCCAGCAGTGCCCACAGCCACCCCTCCCGCTAGTGTGGCATTCTGGATGTGCACCTGAGCGGGAGGCAGAGTGGGGTGAACTCAGTCCTCTCCTTGGAACACCTTCGATGCCCTCTCCTCAGAAGAGGGGGAGTCCAGAGTCCCCCTCAGCAAACCAGGAGCACGTAGACGGTCTGGGCTTGGTACAGCAGCCACTAGTGCACATGAGCTCCCATGCCAGCAGGCCTGGGTATTTCCTGTATGCACACATGTCCATAGGGGAGTACACTTGCACTCCACGTGCCTGTGAACCTGGCAGCATGTCCATGCATTCCCCTTCTGTATGTGGGCCATGCACGCTGTGTGCATGTCCCAATCTCCTCAACATGCATGAATGCATGTCCAGGGTGGGCATGTGTGGCCCTGATATATGGTGTTGCACCCTATCAGAGAGCCTATGCACTTCAAAATAATAACACCATCAGCTGACACTCCCTGGGCTGCTGGCCAGTGGAGCTTATTTAATTAAATCTCCACAACACCCCCATGAGTTAAGCACAGTTGCCTTTCAAAGTTTACAGACAAGGAAACTGAGACACAGAGAGGTTAAATGACTTAAAGCCACGAGCAGAAAGCTGTCTTGATCCAAATCTGTGTGGACCCGAGTGCCTGTCTTTGACCATAATCCAAGTTCCTCCCTGCATGTGGGTGTGGGATGCACCTAGACATGCCCATGGTAGCGTGCTTGGTTCTCTCCTTACCATGTGCCTGAGTCCCTACCTACCTCTCTACAAGCTCTGTGTGTCTGTATCCAGTGCATCCAGGGGGCTTGTGGCAGTGTCCCCGTATAACAGGTACCCCTGGCAGTGTCTCAGCACACATGTGCCTATGACAACAAGCTGTGTCAATTATGAGATAGAATTGATGTCTCTACTTTTCTTTATATGGAAAAACCTACCAGCACCCATGGGGCTTGGCTGCTCCACACTAGTGATATAAGTAGCTGTCCCTGTGGTATGCAATACTACAGCCCCAAAACCCCAGTGGAGTGGACAAGGCATCAAAGTGACCCCCTCTGAATATGTGAGATGGGGCAAGTGAAGTAGCTTTAAGAAGCCTGAAGGCCCAAGGAGCAGGGTTAGAGGAAGCCTGGAGCAGACGTCAGGTAGAGAAGACCCTGCTGGGCAGGTTCAGCTCACAAGTGTTAGCATTCCAGGCTATGGGAGGGAGACTCAAGAGGAGAAGGATCCAGCTTGTCCAGAGCAGTTGGACATAGCAGAATCTTCCAGGATTTGGTTTCTGGGCTCTGCTGAAAACCAGCTATGTAATTTGGATAGAATATTCCTCTCTGGTAGCATAGTGCCTGAGGCACTTGACTGCTAACCAGAAGGCTGGTGGTTCAAACCCACTAGCCACTCCTCAGAAGGAAGGTTGGGCAATCTACTTCCGTAGTGATACTGCCTTGGAAACCCAAGGAGGGGTCGCTATGAGTCGGGTATGACTCAATGGCACACGACAACATTCCTCTCTGAGCCTCAATGTCTTCATCTGCAAGATGGGGATGATAATGTTGATGCTGTCTGTGATGCTGTTCCAGAGCTGTTGGCAGAGCATGGTGCTCAATGCCCACTGGGGTATAGGTAATCATAACCACACCTCCCCTCTGCTGTCTCTCTTCCCCACTCACCATGTCTAGCTTGCCCTTCTTTTGCAGGATGCTGGACAGCGCCACCGAGCTGAGCACACAGGCTGCCAGGGAGCAGTAGGTGTTGATGACAGCCCGGTGCTGGGCATCTCCATGGTTGGACACAGCTGAGTTGAAGCTGGGCCAGTACATCCATAGGAAGAGGGTGCCTGAGCAAGACCAGGTAGACCAGTGGGCCAAGGAGGAGAGATTTTAGGTAAGGTCCTGTCCTTTGAGCTATAGAGATGCCAAATGGTGCAAACATCCCAGCTATTTCCCACCTCTGCAGCTTTAGGCATGCCTGGTGCTCTCCTAGATAACTCCTGCCTCACTCTCCTCCAGGAAGTCTTTCCTGATCCCCATAACTGCTGCCCCAGCACCATGTGGGAAAGTAATTTTTTCCATTATAGAGAAATTATCTGCTGGCTTTTTTTTTTTTTTTTTTTGTCCCTTTACTACACTGTGAGGAGCTTCCAGAGGGCAGGACTGGGTTTTAAGAGACTAGAGAGAGGGCTAAGGAGTTCTGATGGTGTAGTGGTGGCTGCTAACCAGAAGGTCGGTGGTTCAAACCCATCAGCTACTCTGTGGAAGAAAGATGGAGCAGTCTGCTTCCATAAAGATTAACAGCTTTGAAACCCATTGGGGGTCACTATGAGTCAAAATCAACTTGATGGCAGAGTTCTGTTTATTTGTTTTGGAGAGATGGGGCTGTGATGTGTCCTCTGGCATGAATGGACACAGGAAGTAGGAATCCATGTCTATTTTAGCCCAGAGATGGATGACTAGTTCCTGGATACCACTGTCTGCCCTGGGGCATTCTGGGAAAAACTCTGGATTAGCAAGCAGCTTCTCCCAGCCCCACAGGCAGGAGGGGTAGACATCTGGGATCCTGGAAACGTCTATAGGCAACACTCCTCTGCTCTTTCCCCAAAGAGAACTGGCAGACATCCCTTAGACCATGTGGGGATTATGTGTAATCATGGTGACCTGCACTCATGGCACCCTCACCCATCATGGTGGTCCTCACCCATCACTGCAGCCATTACTCATCAAGACCACCCTTATCCATCAATGCAGTCTTCACACACCATGGTGACCCTCAACCAGCATGGCAGCCCTTACCCATATGGTGGCCCTTACCCATCATGGCACCATCATCCATGATCCAGGCCTCACCCATAATAGTTGCCCTCAGTCCTCATGCAGCTCTCACCAATCATGGCAAAGAGGTCTGAGTGGTACACAGAACTCTGTCTCTCCTTGCTCCGCTGTAGGTTGGGTCGGTAGAGGATCCAGGTCACTGTGAGCCCAAAGTAGGCGCCAAATGTGTGGATGGTCATGGATCCACCTGCATCCTTCACCTACGGTGCAAGGGCCTATTAGGCTCTGACTCTCTCCCTCCATCCTCCTAGCACCACCCCCAGACAGAGGTCAATGTGTCTCTGACTCCACAGGCTGTAGTGTGGAGCCTGGGGCCCCCAATCAGATGGGAAAGGGGAGAAAGTGGTTATCCCTGAACCTGGGTGTAAGCCTGTCAGCAAAATGCTAGGGCTGTACTTAGGCCATCTCATCACATCCTTGCCAGATTGGGAAAGCTAGGCTTGGAGAGGTCACATCCTTGCCAGATTGGGAAAGCTAGGCTCAGGGTCACAGATGAAAGAGGTGAAGCAAAGCTAGAACCCAGGGCAGCTAGAACCCTTCACCTTGTTTTAATTATTGGGGAACTCTCTTCTTCCTCTGGTTCTCCCTTTGTTATACAACCACCCCTCCATTCAAACGTCCAACACCACTTCATTCAGACTTTGATTGCCCACCTTCCCTGTCATCTTGTTATCTCCCCTGTCCTCCATCCTCCCAATTAACCACATCCTGCCTCTCCTTCCCTTTTCCCCCAAGTCAGAGCAGGCAGAGCTGGTAGTCCACCATTTGAACCCTTCCTGTGCTTCCTGAGTTACTTACCACTCTATACCTAACATTTGACTTCAAGTCTCAAACTCCTCATTTACGAAGTGGAGAAGATCACAGTGACTTGGCAGGCAGGGTCTGTTGTGAGGATGAAACTAGATGATGTGTAAAGCACCTGATGAGTGCCTGGTACTCAGTAGGCACTCATTGATGTTAGCCCCTCCCCCACCTCTCTTATCTCCAGCCTCTTCTTCCCCTCTGCTCAGAACTAATCTCAGAGGGAATTCCAATCAGAATCACAGACTCATCCCTTCCCTTTAGAGGGAGAAGCCCAGCCAGAGAAGTCAATGTGTTGCCCAAGGTCACAGAGCTGGTTGTTGACAGAACTCGGTTTCTCCACTAGGCTGCTTGACCTTGGGTGAGACACATAACCTTTTTGAGCCTCAGCTTTATCATCTGTAAAATGTAGGTAATGATTGTGCCAGCCATGAGAATTAAATGAGTTAAACCATGTAAAGCATTCAGAGCAGGGCCCATCAAAGGACAATTGCTTCCTAATGTCAGTGTTGATTATTGTACTTATCCCAAATAAAGGCTGAAAGGCTGTCATGCAGGAGGAGAATTTCTGTAGCAGACTGGGAGTGTTTGTGAAGGTCAAAGAAACCTTCCCTGCCTCTTAACTCACCCTTCTCATCATGTTTCCAAACCAAAATCAAACCAAACTCATTGCCATCAAGTTGTTTCGACTCATAGTGACTCCTCCTTGGGTTTCCGAGGTGGTATAAAGTAGATTGCCCAATCTTCCTTTCAAGGAGTTGCTGGTGGGTTTGGACTGCCAGCCTTCTGGTTAGCAAATGCCTTAGGCACTAGATCTTAGCAAATGGCCCCACTGTCGACCCTCCCATCTAGCTTATTTCTTTTTCTCCTGCATCTCCCTCCATCCTTCTTAGTCTCCACTTTCTTTATGTCTCAAATCATCCACTTTCTTCTCATTTCATTAACCCAGTCTTGGTCCCATTATCTCTTTCTACCACTTTATCCTGCTTCTTTGTGTGGACTGTGATGGTCTGCTGTCTCCAAGGCATCATGGCGTTGTTGTATTTAGATCTCTGTTAACTGTTTGTGAAGAGCAGCCAAGGGTGATTCAGGCTTTTCTTGGTGATTTTTATCGTTGGCCCATTGGTAGAGAAGGAGGTAGTGGCTTTCATTCAGTAAGTGAAGTTGCAGGAGGTGTGGGTGTAGTTGTGTCTTATGGGGACTGTTATTGTCTCCCACTCAGTTAGACACAAATTACAATTGAATAACCATCAAAAAACTAAAAGCACATGGACAAAGACCACACCATGTAATCACACAGGAACAGTAGCCAAAAAGAGAAAAAGAAGAAGAAAAAACAAGAAAACCTGCAATATCTGGGGATAGGGCACTAAAAGAAAAAAAATAGAGAAGGAGAGTAATGGAGGGGAAAAAATGGGAAACATGCAAAAAGAAAAACAAGGAACGGGGTTAAACCACAAGAAAAAAGGGGAAAAAACAAACAAACAAACAAAAAAATCTTAAATTAAAAAAAAAAAAAAATTTCAATCAGGAACAGGGAAAAGAAAAAATGCTGAAAACTAGGACCTGGGAGGGGAAGATTAAGAATAATAATAAAAAGGACAAAAGTATTATTAATAATAGTTGTTTTAAAACAAACAAATACAAGCAAACTAATCCCCAGAGAAAAGAAAGAAGAAAAAAAAAAAAGAATCGGTGGAGGACAGGGCAGGGCACCCAGGCTCCATCTGAGTACACAGACTGTGATGGAGTTCCTGTGGGCCCAGAAGGAAGATGATAGTGGGGGATGGCCGCACCTCTGTTCAACAAGCGGGTGTGAGGTATATGAGTAACGAGAGGGATGTTGTACCTTTTCAGTCTTGCGGGTCCGGAGTGACCTTGGGGTTGCTGGAAAGCAGAATGTGTTCTTAAGCCCCAGGAATCTGTGAGAGCGCTGTCTCTTTAAATATCTGAAATAGTCAAGCCGCTTTTAAACCTTCAAAATGGCAGCGTCCTCCGGACTGCAAAAATCCACAGCTCAGCCCGCCTTTCTCTTCACCTTCTCCTTTATTCTCCAGCCACCGTGCACAGTCCTCTGTGCAGTCACTGGCTAGCAGGGCTGATTTTTTGGTTAATTCTTAGGTTCTACCACCAGTCAGGAATCTTCAAGCTGTCTGTGCCATCAGGATCACTGCCAGACCACAGCTCCATATGTCTCCTTTTTCGGTATTTTCACGCAAATTCTTCTGCTAGTTGGGGTTTAGTCCACTTGTATATCCTTCCCTTCAAGGCTCAGGGGTCCAGGATTATCTTCTGTGTCTGTGTTAATTGGTTTCCCTTTTCTTTGTTGAAGAGGGTCTGTGCAGTCTTTCTGCCTAGTCCGCCATCTTGCCGGAGACCCCATTATCTCTTTCAAGACAGCTAGGACAGCCTCTTAATTGAACTCCCTGCCTCCCAACTATTCTCATCACAGCCAAAGGGATATTCACCACTCCCTTGCCTAAAACTCTCCATGACTCCTCCCCACTGTTCTGAAGATAAAAGCAAGACTCCTTAACACAGTCTCAGACTCTTGATGATTGTTGTCCTCCTTTGCCACCTTATCACCCCCCAAACTCACCTCTCAATAAATACATCCCCCTCTTCAGCCAGACTGAGCTACTGGAGACCCCTTGCTTTGTATCTCCTTCCACTCTTTGTACTCACTGGTCCCTCTGCCTTGAATGCCCTTGCTCAGTCCTTTGTTTGGCTAACTCCTACTTGACTCCAGCTCTGACATCTCTTCCTCCAGGAAGCCTTCCTGACTTGCCAGGCTGGTTTGGACACTCTTATCTGGGCCACTGAGCCCCACAGCTCAATCCTTATCACACTGCATGGTAACTGTCTATTACTTCTCTGGCTCCCTCCTTGGACTGTGAGCTCTTTGGTGACCCACTTGACAAATATCTATAGAACATCTATTAGGGCTGGGTTCTGGGGATAGATAGGGGCAGAAAGATAAGCTTTCCTCTCTTTATCAGATAAGGATACATGCTAGGACAACAGTAAACCAAGGCAATAGATAGTGCCTGGGAGGTGGAGAGCAGGATAGGATAGGATATGGTGGATCTTGGAGCACTTCTCTGAGAGGTGATAGTCAAGTTGAGACCTGAATAACAAAAAGGATAGAGGGATGAACATTCCAGGCAAAGGGAACAGCATGTCCAAAGGTCCTGAGGTGTGATCATGCTCGGTGTGTTTGAGGAGCAGATAGATAGTAGATTCTGGCCAACACACATCAAGGTGTGGGGAAAGTGGGCAATAAGCTTGAAGAGAAAGGCAGGAGGCAAGACAGGTAGGGCCTTATAATGAATTTGGGTTTTATTCTAAGTGAAATAAAAGATCAGTAGAGGGTTTTAATCAAGGGGATGGCCTGATTTACATTGATAAAAGGACACCCTGGTTTATGGGTAAACAGCAACCTGAGGTGACAAGTTGGACAAGGATGGAGGCAGATAGCTTAGGAAGATGAGATGGTGGTTTGGAGTAGTATAAACCAAAACCAAAACCAAAAACTCACTGCCATCGAGTTGCTTACAACTCATAGCAACCCCTCCTTGGGTTTCTGAGGCGGTATCTCTATAGAAGTTGATTACTCAATCTTCCTTCCAAGGAGTGGATGGTGGGTTTGAACCATCAGTCTCCTGGTTAGCAGTTAAATGCTTTAGGCACTACACCACCAGAATAGTATAGGGGCTGAAAAAAAAAAAAAATGACTAAATGAATGATTGGATTTAGGCAGTCCCATCTCTATGGGGTATATTCTAGGCAAAATCCAACTGTAGAGGAGAAGGAAGCTAAGAAACAGGTGGGGTCCCTGAATGATGACCTCAAAAGCACCAAGGAGGCTTCTGAGCTAGAGCCAGAGGTCAAGGGTGCCTCCTACCTGGGTCATCGAATTGGCCAACTACAGGGGGCATCACATCTGCCACAGTCTATGGAAATGGCACCCCTGGAGTTGTGCAGTGCAGTCTTTGCACCTGTATGTGGCTGCTCTGGCCACTCCCTTGTAATCCTTCATTACAGAGTTTCTCACTTGATACCCTAGGTCCTTTTCTTGGCTGAATAATCTGGGAATGTGATGTGTGCAAGAATGTGTGCAGGAACACTTTACTCCTATGTGATGTATGAGAAGGAGAAAGAAAAGAGAAAATCAATATATAAGGAGCCCCTGCTCTGCTCAGGCTCAGGTCTGAGCTTGCTAAGTGGAATATCATCTCTGCTTGGGAGAGGTGAGAAAATTGAGACTCGGGAAATGAAGTGACTTGCCAAGGTCTGAATTGAACGCAGGCAGGCATGTCTTGTCAGCCCTTTCTTTCTCTATCCCCTTGCTGTCCCCCCAAGTGTCCCCACTACCCCCGTTCCGAGCCCTGCTCACCAGCAGTAAGTTGAGGAGAATGAATTCATTCACTGAGAAGAGGGTCACTTGGAAGAGAGTCATGATGAGTAGCTGGATAGGGCTGACTTTGCCCAGAACTGCCCCAAAGGCCACGCAGACAGAGCCCACGCAGAAGTCCGCATTGATGAGGCTGTGGGGTGACAGGTGGGGGCAGTAGGCAGGGGACTGAGGCTACAGCAAGAAGCAGCATTCTCAGCCTTTGGTTTGACTCTGGGGTTTGGCTATTTATGGAGAGGCAGAAAGCCAGATGGGCACAGTGTGGCCAAAGTAGATCCTGGTTCCATTCACTGACTCCCTTTCCCTGACTAGCCTCTCTGTCCCCTGCCAGCAGCAAAGCTGCCCTGCTGGATTCCAGAGCAGCCTCCTCCCTCAAGTGTCAATGGGGTGGGTGTAGGGACAGCAGGGGGCTTCCCATTTAGGGTTCCCTGCACAACTAATCTCCGGAGGCTGGCTCAGGTAGCTTGTCTTTCTTACCCAGGTCCCAAGGACTGTGGTCTCTCTGATGTCATCAAGTGGATTCCAACTCATAGCAACCCTATAGAACAGAGAACTGCCCCACAGGGTTTCCAAGGCTGTAATCCTTGAGGAAGCAGACTGCCATATCTTTCTCCCTTTCTCCTACGGAGGGACTGGTGGGTTCGAACCGCTGACATTCCCGTTAGCAGCCCAGCATTTAACTACTGCACCACCAGGGTTCCTTTCTCAGAGCGTACACACACACACACACACACACATACACACACAAACAAACAAAAACAAAACCCAAAGGAAACCAAACTCACTCTGCCTTCGAGTTGGTTTTGACTCATAGGGACCCTTCTCTGGGTTTCCAAGGCAGTATCTCTGGTAGCATAGTGCCTAAGGCATTTGACTGCTAACCTAGAGGGCTGGTGGTTCAAACCTACCACCGACTCCTGGGAAGGAAGGTTGGGCAATCTACTCCTGTAGTGATACTGCCTTGGAAACCCAAGGAGGGGTCACTATGAGTTGGGGTCTACTTGACGGCAGTGAGTTTGTTTTTTGGTTGTCTCTACAGAAGTAGATCGGCTCAGTATGCCTTCCGAAGTGGCCTTAGGCACTATGCCACCAGAGCTCCCTTCTCAGAGTACAGGGCGGGGCAATTTTGATTGCTCGCGTGGAAGGCCTGAGCCCAACCATTAGAAAGAAAGCTGATCTTGAGTCTCTGCAGCTTCTGTCATAGGGGGTAGAAGACCCTGCCACAACACCTGGACACATTAAAACTCTCACTGGGAGAGTCTCAGATCAGGGAGTTGTGTGCAGCTGCATGTAGCAGTCAGGGTGTATTCCGGGTTGTATGGTGAGGAGCTGGCTCACAGATTCAGATCCTCTGGTTTGGTCCACCGGTGCCCCGCCTATGGTAACGCCCCTTCACCCTTAGGCCTCGTCCACTGGGTCCTGGCCCGCCCTCACCTCTCCACCCCGATGAAGATGTAGCCGTCTTGGAAGGCGTGGAACCAGCCCTGCATTAGCAGCGCCCACTGGATGCCGAAGGCCGCCAACAGGAAATTGAAGCCCACTGCGCTGAAGCTGTAGCGCTGCAGGAAGGTCATGAGGAAGCCGAAGCCCACGAAGATCATCACGTGTACGTCCTGGAAGCCTGCAAGGAAGGCGCAGCCAGCGGTCTGAGCCGCCTAGTGGAGGCCTGCGATAATCCTGAGTCTGGGCCAGGGAGGCCTAGGGCAGCACCTCTGTTTCTCCTGCCAGAGGCCAGGCCTGGGGCAGCCCTCCAAGCCCTGCTCCCCCATCTTAGCCCTGCCTGGCCTTTCCCTTCTTTCCTGGGCTCCCTCCTCCTCCCCCCTCCTCTGTAGTAGTGCAGGCCTAGAATCATCGCCATCGTCTTCTCATACTGGCCTCTGGGACAGGGCTAGGCTGGAGAGGGGGCCAAGGTGGCCCTCCACTTTAGACCACTTATACCACTAGGCTATAAGGCCAAGAGATGCTGAAGGGGCCCACCCTTGACACTGGCACTGCATCCTCCCCCCTTGTGGCTATGCTCATCTGGGATGGGGGTAGGCATTTGAAATTTGGGCCACTCCATGGGTTATACTCAGAGCCTAGAGTGCAGACCTTCTGCAGTCATGATGCCTTGCCCCACCACTCCATCCCCACCCTAGTCCTCTGCTATGAAAAAGCAAGACTCATTTGGCCAAGGAGTCCCTTTGGTCTGACCAATACACTGGCTGATCACTTCGAGGGACATCCCCATTCTTCACCCCCAGCCCCAGCAAGTACAATTTTCAGCGTCAGTGAGACCTGGGTTTGGACCTTGGCTCCTCTACATCTGGGTACAGGACTCTGGGAAAGTTACCTAACTACTTGGATTTCTGCACCTTCTTCTCTAATACTTACTTCCCAGATGCTGCAGGGATTAAATGCAGATATGTATGTAAGGCCCCTAGCACAGAATCTGTTCCATAATTTTTTTTTTTTTTTAAAGCAAACAGTTGTCATGGAGTTGATTCTGACTCATGGTGACCCCATGTGTGTCAGAATAGACCTGTACCCCATTCGGTTTGCAATGGTTGATTTTTTTGGTAGTACATCTGGGTGTACTCAAACCTATAACCTTTTGGCTAGCAGTCATCCAGGCACTCCTGTATCATAATGGGCATGTATTGTGATTTATTTTTACATAGGCATAGCTATGGCCTAATTCTGGGTTAGGACCCAACTCTTTTCCCAACTCACTGTGTGGCTGGTCTTTGCAAGCCATGACCCCTCTCAGAGCTTCATTTTTCCTCAATAATAAAACTAAGGGGATGGACTAAATGATTTTAACCATTCTCTGTGCTAACATTGCATGGCTTTAGAATTGAAGAAAATAACAGAAGGGAAAGGGCTTTGAGAAGCAAAGAGAGTTACAGAAATAGAAGACACTAAGGAATTAACTGCAAGGAGCTCTGGTGGTGTAGTGGTTAAGGCATTTGGCTGTTAACCTAAAGGTCGGTGGTTCAAACCCACCAGCCACTCCACAAAAGAAAGATGAGGCAGTTTGCTTCTGTAAAAATTTACAGCCTTGGAAACCCAATGGGGGTTGCTATGAATCGGAGTTGACTCGATGGCAGTTGAGAAGGCGCTGCCGATGTCACAGGAACCAGGGGCCAGATGGATGGCTCCCACTGTCCAAATCTAGGACAATCTGAGCACCAGACTAATTATGAACTGTAATGAATTAAAACCACTGGAAAAAACAGAAACTCATGAGTCCATACTGATAATAAATAGGCAAGTAAATAAATGAGGTAGCAGGGAGGGCTCTTGCTTATAGCAGAGTGCTGAGAACCTGACTGTTGAATGTAGAGGGAGTGCTGTAGTTAGAAAATCGTCATTTTGCAGCCATCACAGTAAAGATGGGATTCCAAACCCGTTGCTGCCTGAGTCGACTCTGACTCATGGAGACGCCATGTAAGTAAGACTGGAAATGTGCTCCACAGAGGTTCCAGTGGTTGAGTTTGAAGCAGATTGCCATGCCTTTCTTCTGGCACCTCTGGGTGGATCCAAACTGCCAGACTTTCCGTCAGCAGCTGCGCATTTAACCATCTGCTTTACCAGGGACTCCAAAGATAGGGGTCAGTGTGGATGCTAAATCCAAAGGGAATATTTGCTGAGGGGCAGGATATTTGTGTTGTTTTAAACAGTCTTCTCATAAACACATAGACAGGTAAGTCTCTAATAGGCCTATTAGTTGCAATCAGAGGAAAACAAACCAACCAACCAGGACTTACACAGTGGAGAAATTAGGCAACAATTTGTTTGGGAGATAAAAATTAAGATTACCAATAAAGGACAGATACACCTCATGTACTTCCAGATGTAACACCCTGAAAGGGACATATACTTCTATGGTATTCCAGCTGAGACTGTATTATCTCAAGCTGATCATAAGGAAGTATGAGACAAACACAAAATTGAACAACGTTTTGTGTAAAAAGGGGTGAGGATGTGTTCTTTAAAAATATCAATGTCCTAAAAGACAATGAAAGGCTGTGGAAATGTTCCAGATGAAAGGAGTCTAAAGAGATGAGCCAAGTAAATACAATACCCAACTCTAAACTAGGTCCCGTATTGGAGGGGGAAATGCTATAAAGGTCATTATTGGGTCACGTGACAAAATCGGGTATGAGCACTAGGTCAGATAAAAATGTAAATTTATTAAGTTGATGACTGTAGTTATGGAAAAGAATATTCCTGTTCTTAGGAAATACACATTGCAATATTTAAGGCCATGAGATATGTGACTGACTCTTAAATTGGTCAGAAAAAAAAGGTGTGTGTATATGTGTGTGTGTGTAGAGTGAGCAAAGAGCTGAATCTGAGAAATGTCTCAGTAAAGGGTTTATAGTATTGTTTGCACTGTTTTTGTTTTTGCAACTTTTTGTAAATTTGCAATTATTTCCAAATAAAAAGTTAAAAAGGTATTACTAAGCCATAAAGAGAAAAGAAGTCCTGAGACATGCTATGACATGGCTGAAGCTTGAACACATGCTCAGTGAAATAAATCAGTCACAAAAGGACAGATACTGTGCAATGATCCCACTTGTAGGCAAGTGTATAAAGATCAAAGTTTATTACTGGGAACTAGGGATAGGTTAGGAGCTCTGGTAGCGTAGTGCCTAAAGCACTTGACTGCTAACCAGAAGGCTGGTGGTTCAAACCCACCAAGCCACTCCTCAGAAGGAAGATGGGGCAATCTACTTCCGTAGTGATACTGCCTCGGAAACCCAAGGAGGGGTCGCTATGAGTCAGGTCCGACTCGACGGCACATAACAACAACAACAACAGGGACAGGTAGGAGGGAGGGGCAAAGATGGAGTCATTGCTTAGGGGGCCCTGAGCTTCTG